TATCATTTATACGCGAGTTCGAGTACCTGAGCTCGGTGAACGACACCAACGTGACATCCATCCGCGAGACGCCCCTCAAAGCCCTGATCTACCCAAAATTTGAGGACATCGGCTTCCAGACCACCGCGGGGTACGTGCGGCTGCTCTTCATCGAGGACACGTGCAGAATCTACGAGTGGCTGCGGAACCAGCTCGGCGCCGTCCGCGGCGAGTACCTGACCATGGACCACACGTTCACGATCGCGTCCAAGACCGTGGACAAGGACGGCCGCCGGCCGTACAAGGCGCTCTTCGGAATCCTCAACGAGATGCAGCAGTACGTCGGCGTGTTCGTCGGCGACACGAGCATGAAGACCGTCCAGCCCTTCCTCGAGAGCTTCTCCGCGGCCTACCAGCAGGGCCAGCCCCGCCCGGTATACATCGGCACGGACCTCTGCTGCCGCGCGGACAAGGTCCTCCTCGACGAGCGGACGTTCGGCCGCGACGTCAAGCAGGTCCACCTCGGCGGCTGGCACGCCCTGCAGCGCATCTCCGAGACCATGCCCAAGCAGCACCCGTCCTTCGGCGACGCGTCGAGGGCGCTCTCGAGGGCGGCCATGGACTTCGTCCTCGAGCACCTCGTCACGCACGCGCGCGTCCTTCAAGCGCGACGAGCCGCGGAACACCTCGAGCCGCTCGGCGACGAGGAGCTCCGCGCGGCGGCGCTGGCGGACGCGGCGCGGAGGAAGGCCGCGTTCCACTACTACCCGGCGCCCATGGTGATCTTCCGGCGCGTGATGATGTGGATCGTCGCCTACTCGAAGGTCGTCCACGCGTACTACGGCGCGGTGATCCGCGAGCGCACGTGGGACGCGTTCTACCAGCTCGCGACGCACATCTTGGGGACGAGGCCCAGCGGCCACCAGTGCCTGTCGACGCCGCCGGCGATGATCCGCGACGGGGCCCTCTTCAAGACCATGCGCGAGGCGAGCGGGACGCGCGCGGCCAAGATCAAATCCCTCGCGACGGACAGCAACATCGAGGGCAAGCACCGCATCATCAACAACGACTGGCTCACGGGCACGAGATACGGCCTGGAGGCGGCGACGGCCCTCGTCGTCCGGCACTGCCAGGTCGACAACCAGCGCGCGGCCGTCGTCGCGGGTCTCGAGCCCGACCTCGGAACGCCGAGCATGTACCTCGTCGAGTCCGTCGTCGCGCTCTACGAGCGCCTGTCCGTCGAGCTCCCGGAGGACCACGCCTACACGAAGGTGCCCGTCAAGCCGCCGTCGACGCGCCGCCTCTTCTTCGAGTACGACCCGAAGCAGACGGACGACGACGGCGCGCGCGCGCCGGACGGCGCGCGCGGCGCCGAGGCGGCCATCTCGGCCGCGCTCAAGGGCTCCAACGCCGTGNGCCTCGCGTCGTGCGCGTCGCCGGAGGCCGAGGCCGCGGCCCTGTCGACGCTGACGCTCGAC